AAGGTAATGGAGTAGGCTGAGTAACTACGTAAGAATACTGTGGGATTGGGGATCCTTGCTAGAACTACAGAAGAGTATACCATATACCCCAAAAAGCCCTATGCCAATGATCACGGCCATTAGTTATGGCTATAGCAGTATACCGCATACCCCAAAAAGCCGTATGCCAATGATCACGGCCATTTATGACCCCAAATATAAGAGCCACCCGGCTCCCCCAGATCCCCGTTCTTGGTGACGAGTTTGCTCTTGGGGGTTGAGGATTTAGGGCGTGGACTAGTTATAAACAAATTCTGCTGGGGGGGGTCCCCGAATAAACTGTACCACAAGTTATCGGAAAACCCAATTCTGAATGTTCAGGCCCCCGTCCTCTGCCGTGATATGAGGTTCTATATGGCTCCTTAGAACATTCTCAGCGCAAAAGCCCGGAAGCCATCGTCTGATATTCGTTGGTCCCCAAGAAACTGCGGCCCTGCAGGACAAGTGCTTCAACTCTCGCGCAGCCTTCGACCAGTGTGTTCGGGGCACCAAGGAGAACCCCGACTAGGTTACTATAGGGCCCTCAATAATTACCTATAGTATTTTGGGGGGTTCCTTATTATAATTATAGTATAAAGGGCCCCGAAATCCTGTTCTAATTCCCCTACATTAGAATCGGTGCGGCCTAGAAAGCGGCTTGCGGCCTCGTATTTCAGAGTTTGGGGTTTTGAGGTGCAGGGCTTGGTTGGGAGGTTCCACAAGAGTGCATGCGGGTTCGGACAACAGAAGGACAGGCCCTCGAAGGGTTTAGGGCTTATAGGGTTTAGGAGTCAACGTCCGATCACCCTTCGCGAGACTTAGACCTGGGGCTCAGGTTCTACACGACAAAAACAGGGTAAAGAAAGAGGACCGGAAAGGTCCGACAGGCAACTGAGGCACGGCAAGCAGCGCGACCGAAGCCCCCCCTTTGCTACCGTGGGAGAAAGGCAGCACAACCGCTACGCTGTACAGAGAGCGCAACACTCGACTCACTGGGACTGGGCATACATGCTCAGTACATCACCTGTCGCCATCGCCAGCAGCCCACAGCAGCTACCTACCACCGTCACACCACATAGAAGTGGAGCACTTAAGCGGCAATGTAGATGTTGGTGACCAAGCTCCACCGGAGATCCGTCCACTAGCTCTTGCCTCGCCCGCCCGCCACGACCGTACTATACCTAAGCATGGAATCACGGCCGTAATCTTAGTCATCAAAATTAGACTGTGTTTGTTCTGGTAGCCTACATCCCAGACCTTATGTCCGAAGTCCTATAAACCTTAAACCCCATGCCCTAACCCTAAGCCCTAAGGCCTATAAACCTTAGACCAAAAGCCCAAAGCCTTAAATCCAAAGCACTAAACCCTGAGTCCTGAGCCCCCGAAGTTCTAAGTCCTACAATCCTTGCACCCCAAGCCCTACCTTAACCCCGAAGAACCTACTTTTTTTGAGGACTTATATAAAGAAACTACCCTACAATCCTGCAAAGGGTAGGTTGTTCGGGATCCAGGTAAGCCCTAAAAGGGCGCCGCTTGTCCTAGTGGACAGGACCTCAATGCGGGCAAGAAGCACGAGAAGCATCCCGGCCCACCGGAGTCGCTGAAGGCCAGAAACTTTGGGGTTTAGGAGTTTTGGGGGTTTAGGGTTTTAGGGGGTTTAGGTTTTAGGGGTTTAGGTTTTAGGGGGTTTAGGGGTTAGGGGGTTTACGGGGTTTAGGGGGTTTTGGGTTTAGGGGGTTTAGGGTTTACGCTTACTTGCTTGGCCAGAATGGGAGAATTTTACACTTTCTGGCCTTCTAAGATAAGCAACCATTGTTTTCGTTGATTGTTTTAGGTTTTGCTGAGGTGGCTTATCTTCGAAACCCGGTTATTGAAGAAGAGAGGAGCAGGGTTGAGGGATTGTACCCGTACCTGAAGTTGTCTAACGGCTCCTTTAGGGGTTGAGGGTTCAGGGGCTTAGAAGTCCGGGGGTTTCAGGTTCTGGGGACAGGGGGTTTAAAGTTGAAAGGTTCAGAGTTTAGGGGTTTAGTGTTTTAGGGGCTTTGGGCTTAGTGGTTGGGGGATGGTACTGGAAGGGTTCTACGGGTTCGTTCGTGTGTTTTGGATTTGGGGTTCGGGGGTCCAGGGCTCGAGGGTTTCGGGATTTCGTGTTCAGAGTTTAGTCTAGGACATCTTCAGGTGGGTAGTTACCCTTATAGGAGCCTTATAGAAGGTCTATATACCTTTTGGAAGCCTTCCACCTGTAGTTTCCTTTGATTTAGGGTTTAGGAGTTTAGGGGCGCGCGGGATGGTAACTTAAGGGTTCTAACGGTTGTATACGGGTGGCTCACTAAGGGCTGCTTTGGAGGTTCTAGAGGGGCTGTACCATGAAGGGCTCCAATAAAGGGTTTTATGGGGACTCCAGAAGGGTTGCACAAGTCTAGGACAATAGAAGCCCTATATACCCTAAACTCTCCGCCTGTAGTTTCCTTTAAACAAGGGCGACATGGGTTTTAGCAGGGTTTCACCGGGGCCTGCCCTAAACCCTTGAACCCCAGACTCGAATGCTTGAGCCCTATACTAGGTAGGCCTTTGGGACATTTTATGGGATCCCTTGTTGGCTTAAGAGGATCTTATTCACGAATATTTTTCAGGGGCCAACCTAGTATAGGATGCCAAGCACCTGAACCCCAAGCTCTGAAACCCTAAGCTTGAACCCTAGAGATTCACTCCAGGCCTTATATGAAACCATGGCAAAATCCTTGCCCCCCGCCCCCCCCCCCTTGGGCCCGCATAAGGCCTTCATGAAAGCAGAAAAGGCCCTGGACCCTAAACCAATTACACTGGAACCCGAACTCATCCCAAGCCCTACACCCTTGAGCCTTACAGCCTTGAACTTGTGGCTTTACAAAAAGGGAGAAAACCGGACACTGTGAGAGTGCGCTTTTTGAGGTTTCGGACATTGACGAAGCCCCAAATGCAGACAACTGAACGAGCTTTACAAAAGAGTTAAAATTCTAAAGACCGCACGACGCCTCTTATTCACAAAAAAAAGCATCCTCAAATCCTACAGCCCTACAGTAGCCTCCAAACAGGTAAACCCTAAACCCTACAGTCTTAGCCGCTAAGATCTACAAGCCTTGCAACCAACAAGAGGTCGCCAAGCACTTTTCTCTCGCCGGTACCTGGGAGTGAAGAGCCAAATACGCGGCAGTCGCTCAGAGATGTGTTGGGGGGCTAAACTTGATCCGTTTTTAACATAAGGGTTTCATAGAGTTTGCTCATAGGGTTGCATGCAGGTTTTCTAAGCGTTTTTGCGAGATTGTTGAGCAAGGGGTTCACAACCGCTTATTTTTAAGGGAAGAGGGCTCTCAAGGGTTGCATACGGATGTTGTAAGGGTGCCGTGACGGCTGATAAGGTTGGCCTTATAAGCGCAGCACATGAGGCTGCGAAAGGCTGCTATGGTACCGGGGCTTTGGGGCTTGGGAGCTTAGTGCTTTAGGTTGAGGCTTTTCGTTTTGGGACATATGTTTCAAGTCTTCTAGGGGTTTACTGTGTAGGGTCACCGGTTCAGATTCTTGCCACTTGTCCTCTGGACGTTTAGAATTCTGGGGGCCCACATCCCGTCGTGCAGGCACGAACTCGCGAAGGACAAACCAAATCGCCTCATGCATGCCCGATTAACCCTTCAGCGACAGGTGGGTTCGCCACAGGGTTCGCGCTGGGGGCCTGAATCTGTCGTCGCTTCGACTGATTCCTCAAGATACCAAGGCAACTGTCCAAGTCTCCCGACTTCATGTCAAGTATCGCCTTAAGGCGCTTCCGCTGCGCTCGTTCATATTGTTGTTGCTGTTTTTGGCATCATGATTAGAAGCCTCGGGCTCTGCCGAGCAGTACTCACTCACAATAGACAAGCTGAGTGCTAGCGTCTGCTCTGCGTCCGAGAATCAGCATCTTCACAGTATCTGGAAGCGACTCAAGATAGAGGCTTCTGCTGGCTCGACGCTATTCCACATCCTTGTGATATTTCGTACTATGGTATAAGATTACTAGTGCACACTATGCATTATTCCATCATGTGAACTCGCCCCGACGCATGTCCGCAAGAAAGCTCCATTTCTGTAGAGAATCCTGGTGCTCCAAACTATGTCAGCTGAGGTAAGATGAAGCCGCAACCTGTAGATAGTGCATGTCATGACAGACTACATCTGTCACGTTCCCATACCTTACTGGCACACCCTCGCGCTGAGACCGAAGCGTTTTCATATAATTGGTTGGCTCTTCATATTCTGTATCCTCTGCAGTCTCTGTCTCAGCCACCAGGGCACGTGCAACATGGAGCGCACAAGGGAACCGCCCCCCAACTACCAACGTGGGGTTGGCTGGTTGCCTCGTGCTGCGCGCCTTTGAATAGTTTCAAGGTTTTATTCCGAGCCCTTGCAGAGACTCTGCGTTCTCATCGAGGCACTCAGGGAATCTGCAATGCAGAACTTGGTGGAGAGTTCCAAAGGCAGCCGCCGAATTTGCAGAGCGACCTGTCTCGTTTTAGCTCCCTACAGATGGGATCATGACAGGCTCCGCCATCTTTAATGCAGAGGCTGTATCGTGCTCAAAAAAAGGTTCAGTTCAGCTTTGGAGGGAGTTCTCTAAAAGCAGGGTCGGAGTTAATTAGGCTGAAGAGCGAAAGTGCCCGAGTTTTCTGGGATGCAAACAATAGGTTCGAAGTTTCGAAGGTTCTTCAAGAGTAGTCCTTGTACCCCTGCTGATTCTGGTGACACTGCAGAAGCCCCTGTGGCATAGAGATTACAGGTTACAATCATGACGGCGTTGTAGGGGCCGAAATAGTTACCAACAGCTTTCCCCAATTTTCCTTATTGTAATTTCAGTATAAAACCCAAACACCCTAGGTTCCTTATTGTAGTTTAAGCATAAGACCCACACACCCTACTAAAACTGTTAAGGCCAGTAAAGACGGAAATCCCTGAGCCTGGGAAGCCCTCAGGGCCGACGCAGAGCCCCGTGAAGGACTGGGGCACCTGGAAGCCACTTGGGTTTAGGGTTTAGGGTTTAGGGGTTTAGGGTTTAGGGTTTAGGGTTTAGGGGTTTAGGGGTTTAGGGGTTTAGGGGTTTAGGGTTTAGGGAGCTGCTGCAGCATAGGGGCCTTAATGATTCGAATTGGGTTTTGGGGGATATATACTATACTTATAATAAAGAACCCCCAAAACCCTACTCTAATTTTTGAGGTCCCTATATTACGGAGTAAGGTAAGGATATGCTTTGGGTTTAGGTGGGTTTATGGTTCAGGGATTCAGGGGGTAAGCTTAGACGAGTGGGTTTCTGTCTGGGGAACCAATCGAAGGCGAGATTCACACCAATAATCTTCGTTTCATCACCGCCACTATAAGAGGGCTTAGGCACGCATATGTGTATGTGTGTCTATACATGCACTTTCCGATGTACAGAAATTCAAATCAGTTCGTTGCAAACCGACACAGTTCTCTAAACAAACGCTTTGCCGAGGATATCCAAAATATAGACCCAGGCAGGAAATCTCTAGGGTTTGTCAATCTGTTGGCGGATGTAGTATATTACAGAATATACAATATATAATATCGATTCCGCAGTAGAAAATACATTATACATACATATATATATATATATATATATGTGTGTGTGTATTTATATAGCTCTCTCTCTCTCTATATATATATATATATTACATATAAGCCAGGAGGAGCGGAGGCGGCGGCGAGAGGTGGCAGGTTGGCAGAGCCGGGCGGGTTTTGGGCTCCGGGGTGGGCACAGGCAACGGGGTTCAGGGCCCAAAACCCCTAACAGAGCATCGAGGTTGCGACTTGGGGTGTGCTTCTAGGTTGATTATTTTGGGGTTGAGGTCTCACGGTTCGGAGCTTGGGAGAGTGTCAGAGGGGCGGGGCAGATGCTCTGCTACCGGCTCACCAGGGTTTTCCGCTGGAATCGTTGAGGGTGTCAGGCTCAAGGCTCTGAGTAGCTGCTAGGCTCCCCAACAGCCCTCGCAGAAAGCCCGAACTTTGTGCACAAAGTGGAGGGGTTGACTTGGTTTAATTGTAACAGGACAGTAGAAGTTATAGGGGACCTCTAGGAGTCTCCCATGATGTAGAAGCGATCTAGCATGGATCCAAGGCCCCACACAGTCGTAGCCTTCTGCCTCCAAAAAAAAGCGGTGGCAAATCGCTGGAGTATCCTTAGAACTTGTCTTGTTTGTTCAGATCGATGTATACACCACGGGTTATCAAAAGTGACGTTCGTATGTATTAACGGTTTCGGCGGGTTTGTAGCCTAAACCATCAGCCCAGACAAACCGAACCATTAACCTCAAACCCGAAGCCATCCTGCATCAAAAGTAGACAACTTCTAAAGCGTCACAGCCGCATCGCATGCCTGTGGTCCCGCATCTTCACGGTGTTTGCAGTTAGTTGAACCTCAGATCTGTGGCACAGCAGGCTAAGTGAGGGCAGAATCCTGGTTACCATGCCAGAGGCTTGTTGTGGGGAAGTGAAAAAATCAGGAGCACAGTGCTACCTTGAGCCTTGAAACCTTGTATTGGAGTTTAGAGCTGCAGGATCTGCAGGATATCGGGTGCATGGTTCGAGGGTGTTAGTTTTTGAGGGGTGTCGGAAATTTACGGCTTTAAGGTTCGGGGTTTAGGGCTTAGGGAACCCTAAACCCTCAACCCTAAAACCCTAAAACCCTCAAACCCTAAACTGGGGATGTGGAGCTCGAGCTTGAAACCCTGGGGTTGGAATCGCGCGATACTGCCCGGCCAGACGCCTCCGATCGCCATGGCTCTGGACAAAAGGCAGGCTGAGGGGGTTTTCTAGGGTTTATATAGGGTTTAGGGTTTGGTTCCTACTTAAGGATCAAGAGGTTTTATGTCGAGTTTTAAGTAGCTACCGTAATTGGTGTTATCCTACTTATAACTTACGAAGTCCTACCTCTAACTCTGCTACGTACTACTACTTCCCTTGGTCCTAGAGGTAGAGCAATTAAAGGGTGGAACTGCTGTTTGGTAAGCCTAAAATCGCCACAACCCCGAAGCGCAAAATACGAAACCCATGAAGCCTAAACGCTGGCAGTAGCAGCATGGCGCGCATCGTCGAGAGCTCCATGACCTTCGCGGAAGTATGTCCGTGTATCGGGACTGCACCCCTAACTAGTTACTACAGCTTTCCAGATGAAGGTGACATATAGGCAGCGCAGAACTCCACACCCTGACTCCACAAACTCCATGAGGCTTGGGGTGTGTCTTGGGTTTTGTTTAGGGTCTGCTTGCTCAGCTTGGCTGCGGAGTCCTGAGCATGTTGACATACGCAGCCTAAACGGCAAAACTTCTTGATGAACCAGGAAATCATCTGTTTAGTTTCTGTGGGCTTCGCTCCCTAGTGTTTGATCAGTGTTCTTATTGTTGGAGTCATTACTATTATTGGTGTTGGCACTAGTAGCGTTATGATATTTTATTGTTGTTAAATATGATCACGATTTGTATTGTAAGTATCATTATCATGATACTTGTTACCAGTAGTGTTATAGTTATCAGTATTCGTACCATTAGTACTACTAGTACTATAACTATCATTACTATTAGTACTATTATTGTTAGTGGTGTTGCTGTTTCTTTCCTGCTGGTTTTTTGTTTTGGGACCTTGGGGCTCTGCCCTAAGGTCAAGGTTTTTATGATTCAGGGGTTCAGGCGTTCAGGGGTTCAGGGGTTTAGGGGTTCAGGAGTTGGGGGGTTTGGGGGTTAACTCAGGGGTTTGGGAGTTCAGGGGTTTAGGGGTTTGGGGTCTAAACCCGAGCAGCCCGATGAAGAAGCGGCAGTCCCTGAAGCCGACTCCGCACCATCAGACACCCGTATCTAGGGCTCAGGGTTTCGGGTTCCATGTAATCCCCACCACACCCTGATTTCTAAAACGCTTTTACGAGCAAAACTACGGAAAAAGAGCCGCACGCCGAGACGAAGCATCAACAAGAAAGCCATCTGTGACGCAAAAGTGACCTCATCCCTCGACCTCGGAGAACCCCCCAGGCTTCGCAGGGCTTTAGGGTTCCTGAACCCTTAACCCCTTTTCGGGTCTCCTAAACCCCAAACCCCCTTCTTCAGTGTTTAGAATTTAAGGGCTCTAGGGTTTAACCCTAAACCCTAAACCCCTTCAAGGTTCAGGATTTAAGGGTTCTAGGGCTTCAGGGCTTTAAAGGTTTGAAAACTGCGGGGTCCTGGGCTGGGACAGGAGAAAACTCGGGATCGCCGAAGGAGGAGCCACTGAGCCAAGAGGCTCCGAGCGGCTGCGATGAGGGTTTTTGTTCAGGGTTTAGAGTTTAGGGTTTAGGGTCTTTTTCAGGGGGGGTTTTGCGGTTTTTGGGGGTTGGGGTTTAGAGTTTAGGATGTGTTTGGATTGAGGGTGGTTTAGGGTTTAAAGTGGTTTCGGGTTTATGGTTCAGGGTTTAGAGCGCTTTGGGACTTAGCATTTAGGCTTCAGGGTTGCTTCTGGCTGCGATGAGGGTTGCTTCATAGGTCATTTATGCGCTTGCAGGAAGGGTTTCACAAGGGTTATTGTAGGGGTTTGGGGTGTCCAATAAAATGTTTACAAGGTTGCCTTTGATTGAGGCAGTTGCTGATGGTGGTTTGTGCCGTGCATTTCTAATACACCTGCTACGTCACCTTGCAAATTGGGTTCGATTGCAACCTGGACCGCTAGACCGTAAAACCTAAACCCTAAACCCCTAAGCCCTAACTAAACCCTTAAACCCTAAACCGTAAACCGTAAAGCGGTTCAAAGAAGCCCATGCTGCCGCAGGAGCGCTGCTCCTTTGTCCGTCGAAAAGCCTGGCTGCGGCTGCCGTGGTCGCGAGCAAAAGATTGTCGGCACGGTTCCATGTTTGGGCTTCGCCACACTAGTGAATATGCGGGCCTTAATAATTAGTTTAGGGTTTGGGGGAAACAGTATATTATAACTATAGTAAGGAACCCCCAAAACCCTGTTCTGATAAGTAACGGCCCTACATTATCCTGCGCGAAGACGGCCCACCTTCTTGAGCACTCTATTCTGGCGTCTGAGGGCTCGTCCCCCTAAGGATGTCGTGGTTTCAACCCCTGACTGGCTAGTTGCACTGTTCACAACTTGTGGCCGATCTTTGGTATAATTTGAACTTCTATCCATGTTTCAGTCTGCACGCCGTCGCCATGTTTCTCTGCATGCTTGTCGGCATCAGAAGTGCTACTAAACTTCCGTGGTTGCGTGTGGGTTGAGGTATTTGGTTTCCATATCTTATCGCTCGACCTCCGGGCCAGACAGCCTGTTAGAGCGCCATGGCCTCCATCGCCTCACTGCTGTTTCTGTGCCAAGGCGCGAAGCGGTTTATGGTTACTGTAGCGGCCTGCATAGTTACGAATATTATTTTGTGGGGGTTCCTTAGGTTCCGGTTTTTAACTATAGTATAATGGGCCCCAAAACCCTATTCCAATTATTAAGGCCCCTACATTAGGGCGTATTTAGGGTTTCTTCTTCGGCCTCAGTCTAGAGTTGAGGGTAAACAGCTCAGGTTTGGGGGGGAACTTAGGGCCATGTTGCCATCTCGGGCTATGTGACATCTCAGGGCCGTTTCGCAGATGTTTATTGGAGAAATCGGAGGTTTCGACTTCAGAGGTTACAACCCAAAATCCTATGTAAATCCTAAGCAGTCAACTCTAACAGCCCTAAGCCGCATTGCAACCCTGGTGACCATGAGTCTAATGACATCGGGGAGCCATCCCTTCAATGCTTAGATGACCCTGTCCCAACCCTAGGCCCCAAGCCCTACCGCCCCCAACAAAAATCAGCAGACTTCTATAGGACTACACTAAACACTAGGCAATGCGCTCCGGAACCCCAAATGCATCCGGAACCCCAAAGTGCATGGAGGTGCCTTCGCACTGGCTGCCGCGAATTGCAACGAGGCCTCCTGTAGCATTGCGCCAAGCAGGGCCTTACGTTCAGAACAGGGGCCTCCGCAGCTTTACATTCTGGAGAGCTTCCGGGTTTAGTGTTTAGGGTTTAGTGTTTAGGGTTTAGGGTTTAGGGGGTTCAAGAGTCAAGGAGTGCCAGAGGGACCTCGCCCACACCATGAGAGTCAGATGGCGAGGCCTTACGAAACTTTTTGACTGGGTATAGTACACAGGAGCGGCGAGGGGACATTCTTACTCAATATCTAAGCCCTCTAGAGTCGACTCTTCAAGGGCTTAGGGTTTTAGGGCTGAGGATTTAAAACCCCTAGACCCTAACCCTAAAACCTAAACCCTAAACCGTTTTAGAGTTTGGGACTTCAAAGCTTTCTCTTTCCGGGACTACGAGTGCAGGGACTCTCGCGAGGAAATATCAGAACCTCAGTCTTGCTGCTTATTTACACATGAAGTTGCCAGACCTATGCCCTAAGCCCGAAACCCTAGGCCGTGGCGAACACAACGAGCAGTTGTGCATCCAGAGCCCACTCGGGGTGATAAATCCTTCAAAGCGTCTGTTGAAATTCAGCCTCAGAGACTCCCCACCCTAAACCCCTAAACCAGTTTTGGGTTTAAGGCTTTCAGGTTTAGGATCTAAGGTTAATGGGTTAAGGTCTTAAGGTTTAGGGTTTAAGGTTTGGGGATAGGCTTTGAGGGTTCGGGGCTTCAGGCTCGGCTGCAGTACCATGAAAGGGCCTCAAAGTCGGAGCATCCTTAAGAACAATATCGGGGCCTAAAGAATTAGCCAAAAATTACCTATAGTAGTTTGGGGGGGTTCCTTGCGGAGTTTTAGTATAATATACCCCGAAAACATATTCGGATTATTAAGGCCCCTATATAACAGGAAGCACTGACAGCTGCACCCCATGTACCCTGAACGTCCAACTGTTCCTTTGCAGATTCGGCTCGGGCATGTCGCTTGCTGTGGTCAGAGGTCGAAGAAACCGCGGCACGTTGAGCTGTAGAGATACACCCTGAAACCTGAACCCTAACTCTAAACCCTAAACCCGAAAACAGAAACCCGAAGCCCGAAACCCCTAAACCCCTAAACCCTTAAACCCTAAACCCGATGTTCCCACCAAAAAACAGTCTGAAAACCGAAACCTGAGGCCCCAAACGGCTAAACTTGGCCCAGTCCAAAAAGTCAGCTCTGAACCTAACACAGGGGCCTAAATACGGTTTAGGGTTTAGGGTTTCACCTAATATATAGGGCCTACATACTTACCAATACTATGGGTGGGGGGTTCCTGATTATGGATCTAGTAGAATGGACCCCCAAAACCTTATTCTATTACTTAAGGCCTCTACATTTAAACCCTTAGCCCTCAATCCTGTCCGAACCTTTTCGCCAATCTCGAGGAGCAGGCCCGTCATGAGGGAAATGTCTCCAGGAGAAGCTCGAGCCCTGAAATCCTAAACCCGAAACCCTCGTTGCCATAAACCCTGAGCCCTAACCCACAAACCCTAATCGGTGCTGAAAAAAACCCTAAACCCTGAACCCTAAAGCATGAACCCTGAACCCTAAACCATAAACCCTGAAGCCTGAACCCTAAACTCTGAACTCTGAACCCTGAATCCTGAACCCCACCAACTCCATCCTGAATCCCAATGCAGGAGGAGGTGTCTTGCATGATTCAGATGCCGACGAACAGACACGAGGTGCCTGGGCTTGAGGGCCCCGCTGGGGTTGGTTCAGGTGGCCATAGCTTCGAAATTGTGGAAGGAACTCTGTTGAAAGGGAGCGAGATCACCGCAGGACTTCATGATTTTAAGGTTTAGGGCTCCGAGCTTTGATGTGTAGGCGTCGGGGAACCTAGAGCTTAAGGATCGAAGCTAAGCCCCCCCAAAACCCTGAACCCTGAACTACGAAAGCCACGTCCTACCGAGTCGAACGGCACAACAACCGGAAAATCAGAACTTGCAAGAGGGACAGCTTTAGTTGAGAATTCGGGGTTGGGGTTCTGCACTTCGGGCTTTGTGCCAACTGTGGGTGATTGAAAGTACGGGCACCTTCCTCCGGTACTGAAGGCCCAAGCCGCAACTTGCTTGGCGGGGTAGGAACGCTTTAAACTCCACGTTGCAGACCCTCCCCTACGTTGGAGCTGCATTGCTTTGAGCACTGATCTGGAGAACCCTGTTGCGTGCACTGCCCGCCGCCCACAACCTTAAACGAAGCGATCCGAAGCGCTTCATTGGTATTATATAGGGGCCTAAATAATTACCAATACTCTTTTGGGGGCCTCATTATGATTCTAGTATACTGGCCCCAAAACCCTATTTGACTATCAAGGCCCCTGCATTAGAGCCCACACCCTAAATTCGGTAAAGCTCACGAAGCCCCGTACAGCCCTGGCCCCTACCCAGTCCCTGCTGGAGACACTGCCTTACGAGACAACCAAAGCTGTCCCAGCCGCTCAGTCGGACGAGTTTTGGGGGGAAGGCGGAAGGACTTCTGGACCCTAAACCCTAAACCCTAAACCTTAAACCCTAAACCCTAAACCCTAAACCAAAACCCTAAACCCTAAACCCTAAACCTGGGCTTTTTAGTTGTGGGCCGGCTGGTCATCGGACTTCGGGTCTCAGGGTTAGGGTATAGGGTGCCAGATTCGGGGGTTTACTTTCAGGGGTTTGGTGTCAAGGGTTTGGGGGCTGCGGGTACAGGTTTCTGAGAGATCCTGACGTTTACGACCGCCATGCGCCACCGATTCTGCTTCTATACATGGAAAGCATACATGGAAAGCGCGTAGGCCCTGCCGCCAAGCCAGCAGAGTAGCTTGCGTGCTTCTGAAGAAATTGCTTCAGACCCAGGAAGTCTACTCTAAGTTGGGAGGAGTAGCCGGCTTGCGTTGTCTTCATCCTGTTCAAAGAATTCCAACGCCTTTGCCGAAACCAATCCTAGCCAATGCGGGGGTGGAGGACTTCTTGTATGTTTTTTTTTGTATCCCTACTCTATCCTTGTACCCAGGGAGAACACCACATGATGTGTAGGGTCATTGTGAGAAGTAGCCAAGGTTGTAATCAGCTGCTGAAACTGTTCTGAGTGCAAGGTTTGGGAGGGTATAGTTGTGTAGTCCGCTTTTGTCGGTGCTGTTTGGGATTTTGGAGTAGTACGAGGCCTTCATCCCTAAACCCTAAACCCTAAACCCTAAACCCTAAACCCTAAACCGAAGGCCATGTAAAAGTACCGACACCAGGTACGATCTGTCAAGTGTGAGTTAGGTCTTCTTGAAGACCGAGGCTTTCCAGAATGGGGAGAGTTTACCGTAAGCCACGTGGTTACTGTAGGGG